AAAGCTCCATGAGTTAGCAATAATAATGTTCCTAGGCTAGATAAGTTGAAGTTTTGTTTGGTTGTATTATTAGAATTAGGGGCAATGGTCCCAGCAGTTGGATTAGACAGTGGGGAGGGTGATGGAGATGGAGATATTGTAAGAATGAATGGAGATGGAGCTGGACTTGGTGATGCCATGTTTTAACATTGATTACCTGAAATCACAAGTCAGATTTCAACTAGGAAATTAAACAATATTAAACTGCTTTATAATTATTCCATAATCAATCCTATTCCAAAACCTTGCTTACCTGGGCAAGGAGCCTGCCAAGAATAAGCTAAACTGCAATAATCAAGGATACAAACTGCATTAACCCCATTGTGTTAACTTTTTAGGTACACCATTGTCACTTTTTAAAAAGTGATTATTTAATTTATCGATTAATGTTAATTTCCAAAATGAGATGGTAAATTTTGCATATTCCATTATATATTAATAATGCATGACATATCATAAAATAAATATCAAATAACAAAATAAAAGGTGAAAACAACCAACGAAATAGTCAATTACGGAATGTGAAAGGCGGTCTTAACATCTAAAATGAGTCACTAAAACCGAAAATTAAATATTTGTCTAAGCATTACGTATTTCTAAGATAATTTAAGAAGATTAAGAATAAAGCTCGATTCTTTGAATAAAAATATATTTATTATTATATCAAATGTTCAAATCTAAATTTATACATATAATCTCTATTTTTAATGATTAAAAATTTAAAACGTATTTCATGTTCTAATTTTATTAAATAAAAAAAAAAGGCTTAGTACCTTCTATAAATTTTGCCTCCATTATGACCGCGATAAATGCAAGTAGAGAGCTTACAACCAAATGGGGTTTTGTTGACAAGAGAGTCGCCTATGAAAAGATCAGAGTCCTTGCACTGCAATTGAAAGCATGAAGGTGCAATACCAGATGGCCAGCATCTCAAACTGTTTGCCAAATAACAAAGCCAATCAAGAAAAGAATTATGAAACCATTAATATTCCTGCAAAAAGAAACTCAAAGCTTTGTTTTAGCTTACTAGAGATCTTCGGTTCCACAAACACATTTGATGCAGGTACTGGCAGTCAAAGCATATGAACCCTTTGCTACTATTAAGCTCTCGTTATACCACTTCAACTTAGCAGATGAACAAGCTACATATTGAAAGATTACATTAATGTTGATATATATATATGTATATATAATCAAAATCGAAATACGTTTCGAAATAATGAAAGAGATGTTTCAATCAAATCATGATTCGATACATTCTTTTAAAAAAAATATTTGAATCGAATTTTTTAAATAAAGTGATACATGCATTTTTTGTTGAATCAAATGTTTGTATGCATCTTCCTGAACTTTCTCTCACTAGGCTATATAATGTTGAAAAGGTTTAGGACACTTGTGACCCTCCTTTTTGTTCCTTATCTTGCAAGTTACTGTTTGAACTCTATCATGCCCCTTCTTTTTGGCATTCAACACAGAAGGAGAAGCCAGAAACTCTGAGCATAAAGCTGAATTTGTTGGATATGTGTTCAATTGTTTCATTTTATTGCTTTGGCGGTTTCTGTTGGGGGGACTATGGATTTTTTTTTGGATGAAAGGGACTGATTAAAATGCCATCATGGGCATGGAGAACTTGCCTATAGCTACATACCTTTAAAACGACAATGAAAGGGAAACATTTAAATGGTTCCAAGACATGGAGTAGGTATGGGGGCAGTTCTCGGCATTCAACAGTATAATGACAAACCCAAACCCATAATCTTATGGTAGCCAGCCTTGGACCATTATGAACAACAATATCTGACTATCTGCCATGATTCACCCAAAGATCAAAGTGTTCTCAACCGTAAAATTTCTTAAAGACTAGAGAAAATCATGCAATAACTAATTAAGTCTAATTTATTAAAGCCATAATAATAAAAATATTTCATTAATTAAATTGAGAGTAGTTTATGCATATAAATATAATTAGAATATTTCACTTATTGGGTGTCGAAGTAAGTTGTATCTCTATTTTACATGTAAAGTTCATGACACATTATAATAAGAATCGTTTCACTTATCTTATAATTTAATTAACTTTTATCAATTAATCTAAGAGTTTATCTCTTATTAATTTTTTTCCTAATGAATATAGATCTAGCGAAATTCTCCAAGGATAAAACTAATGTATACTTTAGTAATCACATCAAGACTACTCAGATGGGCCAAGATGGTCGTTCACATGTTATATATGAGACAAAGGAGTATAACATTGTTCCTTTCCTGGAGTTTACCTTGAATGTCGACTTAATTCCCAGCTGATCATCTAGATTCATCTTCTACTAAATAGTTGAAAAAAATCTTCAAGTAGTATAGAAAATAAGTCAACAAACCTGAAATTGGAATAGAGAGAACATCTCCAGAATTAACCACTGCATCTCCAAGCCCATTGACAGCCTCCAACTCCATAGCAGTGCTGCCAAATTCTGATGCAATACCAGTCAAACTCTCTCCACTTTTTACCACATACGACATGTAGACTGCAGAATCCCATTGCTAACATTGCCAAAACATGTGCATGGCAATGGAATCACAAGGCTCTGCCCACTTGTTAAAGGATTCGTAGCATTAATTCAATTCCTGCTCCGAATCTGTTGTGCACTAACAAACCCTCCAAAACCCTCTGATAGTGAATCAGCTGTGTCAGCTGGGTGGACAGTGTAAGTTGTCAACATGCACCTTCGGATTCCATCCACACATGACCATGGAATAGGGACTTTGACAGCGGATTCGGCCTTGAAAATTTCGTCACCTAGAGTTTTGGGGCTCATGGAGTTAGCACCTAAGATATCAAAGGTGTTCACTCCAAAGCGGTAGGCTACCTCGGAGAGCTTTGAGTCGTAAGGTGGGATGTAACAGAGAAGAGAGACGCATGAATCAGAAGAGTTGCAGGGTTCAACTGTGGATTTCGAATGGGTTATCGGAACGAGACTGATTAGGAGAAGAATGGGCAGAGGAACTCCTACAATAACTTCCATTGGTGCTGGAAAAGTATCAAGAAAACCATTAAAGACTTCAACAGTGAAGAAATCTTATCTCTTTTATTTCAATCAAAGCAGATGAATGTGTTAGGTGTGCATTGAATTAATGTGATAGTAATGGATGACTGGTCTTGCTTCTGCATATCTGCCCCTACACTTTGAAGAGAAGGTATGTGTTAAATGATTTAAACCCCAAAAGCAAAGAGAGAAAAATAATTTTTCATTATTTTTAACTTTTTTTTTTGTTGGGTATGATCGGTTGCACTTGCATGGAGCTCTCAACAACCACCAACCAACCCGTCAATGGCGAAAATAAGCTAGCCCTTGAAGCTAAAAAAAAATTGGATTATGGAGAATTAATATCATTGTATTTAGCTTTTGTTTAGTTGATATTTTTATTTTTTATAAAAAATAAATAATAAAATTTGTAATATTTAAAAAATTTCTTCAAAAAAATAATACTCGAAAAAAATTGAATTATTTAAAAATTAAAATAAATTTTTATTTTTTTATTATGTTCAATTAAGCTATATATTTTTATTTTAAGTCAAATAAATCTTTATAACTAACCATTAACTTATTATCATTAGTCCATATGTAATTTATCATTTTATATGCATATGATATTAACGTGAAAAGTGAAAAATATTATTAAATTATATCATGATGTCACATCAACATCTATTATGACATGTATGCGTCATTTGGTATAAAATAGCAAATGATATTTTTATTAGTTATTAAGACTCATTTGATTCAAAATAAAAATATAAAGATTTAATTGAATCTGATAAAAAAATAAAATTATTTTAATTTTTTTAGATATTATATCGTAATCAAAGTTATTAACTAAATAAAGTCTTAGTACGTGCATGTTGTCACGAATCTCAAATCAGTAAAAGATGAAATGAGTCTTGAGAATATAAACATGAGTTTTTCACCATCTATCGGATATGTCTTTTTTATTAAGAATGTGGACCCATGATTTATAGACTTAGTTCAAATTTAAGGTTGCATAAAGTTAGGATCAAATTCTAACCCATAACATTTGGTATTGCTTTGAATTTTTATTGATGTGGAGCTCCTATGAGGAGAGGCGGAGCTAGCCAACTTTTATGGGCAAACCAAAAATGGAAGAGAAATAATGTATAAAATATAAATAATTAAATATGATATACAAGATTAATAATTTTTTTTATATAATCAATATTATTTAAGGACTACATACTCAAAGATAATTTCTTTTTAACTAAATATAAAACATAAAATACATAAAAAAAATTATATATAATCAAGATTAATAAAAAAATGATATGTTCATGAAATTTTAAGTAACAATTAATAATGTAACGCTAATTTTAAGCAACAATCAATAATACAATGCTACAATGCATATTTTAGAATTAAATAATAATTTTTTACTTTTTAAAGACTAAAATTATTGAAAATACGTAACAAAAAAAAACATGACAAGTAAAAAATAAAATTACATAAAAAGAAAGAAGAATATAGTATATGATTGTAGAAATTTGAAGAAGAAAATCTATAGAAACTTAAACATATGATCAAATAGAATAAAATTGAATAAATAAATAAATAAATAACAATAATAATATAAATAGAAAAGTAAAAAACTTTTGTAATTCAATAATAAAAGGACAAAAGAAAAGAGAAAGAGAAAAAGAAGAGATGGAAATAGGTGTGAAGAAGCTTAGAAGGGAAAAATTTAAGAATTCAGGTAAAGTTAAATGGATTTATAGACTTATTTTTTTTTATTTGTATTAATAATTTAATAAAAAATTATTTTGAGAACTCGTTAAAAAATATATGTAATATATAAAAATTTTTAAAATTTTTGGAAATGCCATTATAAAGGGATGCTTTGCCTTTGCCCATTAGAGATATAAAAATCGAAATAGGCTCGGATTAATATAAGAGTCTCTCTTTTTTACAGATAAAGAGTTAATAAAATGGGAGCATAGCATAATTGGATAGAGTAGTATATCACAAATCTTACATTAGTAAGAAATGGGATAAGTTTGAAAATATAAATATGGATCTTCTACCATCTATTAAATATATTTTTTGAATTGAAAATATAAATTTATAATTTATTAATTTACTTAAATTTTACTTTCAAAGTTTAAGCTTACATAAGATTGAGTTTGAATTTCAGTATGTGACATACGCAAAGCTTTTTACGGAAAAAAACATTCTTATTAATTTTAGTTATGACTATACAAATTCAAATGTTGTTTTAGGACAGGCTACCCGTATAAGTCGAAGGCCCAAAGTGGTCGAATTTAGGTTAAGATTTTTAAGTCCACTTAACTTGGTCCTGCCCAACATTATTATTTTATTAAGTAAATATCACATAAATATTTTTAAATGATTAAATAAAATCACAATTATTTTATTCAAACTTCATTAAGCTATAGAGATGAAAAATATTAGTAAAACACAAATATAAAAATTTTAAATTAATATAAAAATATTTTTAATATAATTTTTTGTTGAAATAAATATCGCATAATGTACCAAAAAATATATATATTTTTATTTTTTTATATAATTAGTAGTACCCGGCAGCAACATGCTCTATTTTTCATAAAAGAAAGAAACATGAGAAAGAAGGGCCGCGAGAAACGTCCGGAGGAACAGTCACGCGCCACCGTTAAGCGGAAGCATACTCACTTTGAACAATTTCATTATAACAAACAAACCAAGAGGCTAAAATGGGTGTCAACCGAAACCAAAACCGTCACGTTAAAACCTGACCCGGTTCGAAACCTGCCGGTTTCGAACAACGGTTTCGAAGCCATTCGTCCACGCACTTCTTCGTTTCGGAGGCACAATAAGAGGCGAAAGAGAAGCAATTGCAGCAGTTCAGAAGGTTCCCGCAAGTGGGTCTTCTCTTCCCGCGATTGTTCTAATTATAAAGGTATCAAATTCTTACTGTTTATATTTATAAAACGAAAATTTTGATGATAGTTGAATTTGGGTTAGTGTATTTTGGTTAATTAAAGAGTTTGACATTAGCCAAAATTATTCTTTTTTTTTTCTTTTTGGAGTTTAGAGCTGAATTTCTGGTTTTCAGTTTGGTTGTTAATTGTGTTGAAGATAATAGTTGCTTGAATTACTTGATTGCAACATTTTGAATGAAAAGTTTATGTGTTGGATCATATTCCTTTTGGTTTATATTCAGGCTCTTTTGTTTGTGGCTTTTGTTATTTGCTTTTTGCTTCTTAAATTTTTGCTCTAAAATAAAGTATTATCATCCTATACAGTGACGGTGCCATTTTTGAATCCCACAAGCAGATTTGAATAATTGACAGGTGTTCATCAAGTGGTTATACCAATTTAATGATTTCCTTATTTAAAGTTTAGTGAGCATATGTTAGTCATTTGAACCTGCCAACTCCACTGCCAGTGTAGAAGATAATAATCCTATAAAATGAAATGCAAAAAGAAAAATCCTAATTGATTAAAATTGAAAAATGATTAACATGTAACACCAATTGTAACTGGATTACTATATATGAAATAAAATCATGCATTTTGGCATCTAGAAAATTACCATTTTATTTTTAATTCTATAAAAATATTGTTTACTTTTGTATTCAAATGCATTTTGCTTTGTTGTTTGCACATAGTAAAAGCCACAATCAAATGCTACCTTAATGTGACAGCTGTTAGAAGCATGGCTATTTTATGTTTACATGCTGATTGAAAGCTGTAGAACATAGCCATCATGAGGATGTTGGGAATGACCATCAATGATGTATGGATTACTCTTTAGCTTTCCGTACCAATTACCATTTATCACTATTCTCTGCTCCATATATCCTTGGCTTGAAGTTAAGAATGTTTTTGAGTCTCAAATGTTGGAATGTGGGTAGCTTTGGACACCAAATGGGAAGATGAGGTTTTCACTCTATTTTATTTAATTTCATGTATAAAGCATACCTTTTCCATTCTGTGGTTGGAGGGAGCATAAGCTTGAGAGACTTACCAGTGATGCATTTAATAGTTTAACCCTGTAACTTGCCAGTGAGACATCTAAAGGGTAATCTTTTGAGGTATTGTTGGATCATTTAACTCTCCTCTGCGTAGCTTGCTGTTAAGTAGTGGTGGGAGATCTTATTCTTCATATCTATGTCTAAATCTTTTAACTTTTGTTCTGCAGATAAACTTGTCATTGTTTCATATAATATACTTGGTGTGGAAAATGTGGCAAAGCACCCGGACTTGTATCTTGATGTTCCATCAAAGTACTTGGAGTGGAACAGACGTAAAGACCTAATATCTGAGGAGGTCAATCGTTACAATGCAAGCATCCTGTGTTTTCAGGTGAGTTTAAGAGTCTTTTAATATGAATCCAATTTTGCAAGTTGTATTACGCTGAAGGACTGGCTTATAGTACATGAGAAGCGTTCTTTTGTCATGTATGTTTCAAATCATATAAGTTCACCTATTATTGAAATCAGCACATGTGTCAAATTATATGTTTGTTAGTTACATTCTCATAGCCCACTCTTGCTGCTGTAGGAGGTTGACCGCTTTAAGGATTTAGATGATCTTCTTCAGAAAGATGGCTTTAAAGGTGTTTACAAGGTATACTAAATTGTACTATGTGCTTTCCCTCGGTCCAGCAACTCCACTGTCAAATATCTTTTGGTAACCCACACCTGTAATTACAAATGATTCCAGGCTCGCACAGGTGATGGATGTGATGGTTGTGCTCTATTCTGGAAAGATAAAATGTAAGTTTACACAGCACCCTTGGTGATTGAAAATTCTTTTTTATCCCAATAAGTTTGAGTATCTATAATTGCTATTCTTTTTTATCCCAATAAGTTTGAGTATCTATAATTGCTATCTTTTTCATATGCAGCATTTATTTGCTATGGTAGTAAAAAAATAGCTAGATGCTTCTACTCTCTATACACTGAAGAAGAATATTGACTATATTATTGTTATTATTTATTTGACATGACAATCTACTGTCAATTCAATTGTCTAATACAAATAAAAGAGATATAGCACGTGGTTTCTACACTTCTGGCTTTCATTTGTCAAAGACTTGACCAGTTCAAATTTGTTTCACAGCTTTTGAGCTCATCATTTGTTTTTAGAATCATTTTATTCTTTTTCCTCATTTTCTTTTCAATTTTCATCGTGGTTATATCCAACATTTAGAAAGTCATATTCTGAACACAGATTTACCCTTTTGCAAGAAGAAAATATAGAGTTCCAGGATTTTGGCCTTCGCAAGAATGTTGCTCAACTTTGTGTTTTGAAGGTATGTAGGGGTTGGTTTATTGATGTATGGCTCATCTCTCACCCTCTTGTTTTAGGATTTAGTACTGTGCAGTTTATCCAATTAGTTATATTTCATCTTTAATCCCATTTTTTAAATTGGTTGATATTTTTGAGCTTGTACTAAGTTATGTATTTTGTTATTTGCCTTAAGGCATTTCCTGATTTTGGTGATTTCTAAATGATGTTTGGGAAGTTTATAAGTAGCAGTTATTTGGTTTTCTGAGTCTACCAACTTTTCGAGTTATTTTTTATATGTTTGACTTAGTTGTTTTCCTGCTAAAGATATTAGGTTTTCTTCTACCTTTTTATGTCTTTAAAGTAATTGATATGCAGAAGAGCAAGGAGAGATTATTTATATTGTTTTCTAGATAAAATTTTTCATTCAATGAAAATGTTTCAAGTGTAGCTTTCTTGCATCAACATTAGTAATGGTGGTCCTAATGAAAGTTTTTTCTTAGACAATAGTAGTGTGTCTTCTCAGTCATTATTTGATTGCATTCTTTTTTTTTTCTGATCTTTGAAGGATTGTAGAGTCTCATTCTATGAAAATCGTTTGCTTGTCTGCTTAGTTATCTATCTTTTGTTGCTATTTACTTCATTTGTAACACCAACTGAAGCAAGTTAATATGACAACAAATAAATTCACTAGAAAAATGATCAAACACGCACCAAGAATAATATGCTAAAATAATAACCTATAAAAACAAAAGGATTGACATGGTTCGGCTTTAAGCGTGTGTTTATGGGCAGAGGCGATGAGAAATTTTTATTATAATCGAAACAAGATGGAGATTAGATAGAGTTTAATACTCAAAACTCGCTGCACTCACCCTCCCCAAAATGAACCCATCTATTGCTCCTTTTTTTTTTCTCTCAAAAGAAACTCTTTCTTCATCTCTAGAAGCTTAGCTGAGACACTGCTAGCTTTCATTTTATATTTTTCAACATTTTCTTCCCATTGCCAAAATCTCCACCTTGACTTACAAATTCCTCCCAGCTGACACTACAACAACTTGCTTGAAACTAGATGGCCTTCTCCAAATGTCTATTGGGGCGTTCACCATTTGCAGATACCACCCAAGTCCGCGCATTTGCAATTCTTTTTCAACATGTCCGCGGGATTCTCCTCAATAGCAACCCTACTAATCACATTATCACCATGCAAATCATGATCCTAAAATATATGAAATCTGATATTAACACGTTTGTTCCATTCGTGAAACATCTAATTTTTGGTAAGACGAATACCATTCTGGTTATTGCAAAATACAACAGTGAAATGCTGTCATAAACTCAAACTGCTTGCCAGACTTTTAACCACAAAGCTTTCATTGCTCCTGCCCCCACCACATATTACAATTTCCTTTTGTTTATTCTTAAAGATAAGCACATGTTCAGCTGTCTCCTTAATGCCAAAGTATGTACAACCTAATCCTTCAGTATGCTGTTCACCGCAGATCTATTACCTCCTCAAACCTTCTCCCTATCAATGGCCAAGATTGAAGCCGGATTGCTTACCACACTTTTTAACCACAAAGCTTTCATTGCGTTGTCAATCCAGTTTTGAGAAATTTGCTATAATGTTGGCCTGGAAGAATTTTAAGCCAAGGCGGAAATTTGTTATGGAATGGCTGAAAATTGCAGCTCTTTTGGAGTCAAAGCTCTGGCCCCCTATATTCATTGCTCCTTTCCTTTTCCTCATCTCCCCTATATATCCTTTATTCACTGCTTCTTTATTTTTTGATCTTTTGGTTGAAGTGCAACATGGGAAGGGAGAAAGTGTTGAAAATATAAAAGAGAGCTTGATGTTTCTTGGTGATGAAGGCAGAGAATAAAAGGAGAGTCTTTTATAGAGAAATGAAGTAGTTCTTGTGTGGTTTTTGGGAGATGGTGAGTGTAGCAAGTTGAGTGTTAACTTCAACTTGTTTCGATTATAGTGAAATTTTGCCACCCCAATGGACATGGGTGTAAGCTTAAATCCAAATCATGTAAATTCTTGTGTTCTTATTGGTTATTATTTCTTGGTGTGTTTGGTTATTATTCTATAGAATTCTTTTGTTGGCATATTGACTTGCTTGGCTTGGTGTTACAACAGCTGAGATACATACCTTTGTATTCTTCAAGTGTGGCATTTCCCTCTCGACCCCCTCTAATTATTTACATATCCATTACTACCCTGTGTTCTTATTTTTGTAAAGATGAGTTAATCTGCAACTGTTTAACTTATTGTGGTTTTGATACTGATGTTTAATAATTTTCTTACACAGATAAATCAACATCAATTAGAGCCTGATTCATGTAGAAAACGATCAAAGTAAGGTTAAACTTTTTGTCACATTCTTCTTTGTGTAGATTTCAGTAAAAATTACTTATGCTTGGTGACAAATAGATAAGCTTTTGGATTCAATATGGCTTTGATTGTTTAAATCAACAAATATTAGCTCTTATGTTGTTATCACTATAATATATTTGTATTAAATATACTGTAAAATATTTTAAGGGCCAAATTTTGGTTCAAAGATTATACTCCTAGAACCCTGTGTCTGAAATCCTAAAAGCATTTACATGACATAGAGCGTTAAACTTTCTGTTTCAGATATGCATTTACTACCAACTAGAATGAGGCCTCTTGTTAATCTCTTTTTTTGAAACCCTTATGAATAAAACATCTAGCATGGAGAATAAAAGTAGTTTTGAAGTCAATCTATGTAGAATAAATTTCTTTATGTAATTGATTATGCTGAGATAGTGTTACATACAAATAACAAGTTGGAGTCCTAGATGACAGAGAGGAATGGACAATCCTAGTAAGTTAATGCGAGGGAAGAATGTGGAAACTGAAATGATGGTGCTACAGTACATTCTGTTATGCTAGGGAGCACAGAATGATTTGTAAAAATAAATCACTTTGCAACATGCAAGCATGACAGGAGGAGAGAATGTGTGAGATAGAGAAGGAGATGAAGGGGGTCTTTACTTTGTAGAGAGACTCTAGAGAGAAGTTTTAGAGCAAATTGAGGGTCAAAACTATCCTTATATGATTAGTGTAAAGGAGCATTTACAATCTTAGAGGGTGGGTTTCGATCAATAAGCTGCTTCCGAGTGTCTCAACCTATCGAAGAGAGCTTGTAGTTTGACTAAGTTATCATGAGTATCTGATTAATTGTAGAGAAAGTTGTAATTAATGGAGTCCTTATCATCATTTATTGAACATGGCAAATCTTTTAGTATTCCTAAGAAGGTTTAAAGAAATACAAGCTATTTTTTGGCCGAGCATATGAAGCCAAAAATGATACTCTTGACCTTGATACAATTCAAGAATCAGTCAGGCAGTGAGGTTCATAACCCTTTCCCCCCAAGCAATGCCCCTTGAGTGATAATTGATGGCATTTAGGTTGAATTTAAGATGAATTTTTGGGTAAAATATGGTATTACTTGCATTGCTTAGAAAGTCACATCTATTTTGTGTGGCTTAAAGGGAAATTTTTCAAAGATAAATAGTCGGATGAATTGTTTCCTTTTTAAAGCTTTTTGCTGTAAAACTGAATATATAGGATAACACCCATGCAAAGTCGAAGTTTATTGGTTGGAAATATACACGTGCTGTTCAACCCAAACCGTGGAGATATCAAGCTAGGCCAGGTACTGACTGCTTAGCATGATGTTTGCTATTTTGCAATGTCATACAATTAATGCTGAATCCTGTTAACCATAATCTTCCATGTGCTTTTTTCCCCCCTTTTTATATGGAGGGTGGGGGATCTTTCTAGACTACAATCTCTTTGTCTTCTATTATTGAAACTGGTTTAGAAATATAACATGCAACGCTCTAGGTGCGGCTATTTCTGGAGAAGGCTTACAAGCTATCACAAGAATGGGGCAGCATCCCTGTTATACTTGTTGGAGATTTTAATAGCGTTCCTCAGGTGAGGTCTTCAACCTAATAACTAGTTGAATATGTACAGATTCAATATACAGTTGCTATCTGGCTTCTGCTGCCCCATTTGTAATTTGAATTTTGTTTTCATCTTGTCTGCAGAGTGCTATTTATCAATTTCTGGCATCATCTGAGGTGAGTTTTGGTTCATGTAGAGTATCAAGTCCATATCCTTTAATGTTTTCCTTTACTGAGTGATTATTATAGAATCTCTAGCTGTATGATTGCATTCTGATAATATTTTGCAGCTTAATGTCCAACTTCATGATCGCCGAAGGATTTCTGGGCAGCTTGAATATCCATCACAGGGCAGAGAAATCAGAGCTCAAAATAAGTATATAGCAAGGTCTTTCAAAAATTATGAGGAAATTTTTTAAAAATTTTTAAAAGCAATTTTATTAGGCGACTCAAATGTAAAATGACTCAGTTTCCCTGCACAATTTCTGAACTGTCATCTAAAGTATGAATTAAGTTGGGGTAGTTAATGATGTTATTTTATATCCATTGATATCAAATGAAGAACTGAGATTGTCTCCATAGAGTTGGTTGAGAGCAATTGAGTTCTGAATTGATCAGAAAGTTGAATAATATGAGAGCAAGACAATGTCAAATTATGAGTAGGTTGGTTATTTAGGTCAAATTCATATTTTATCTTTACTTGAAAACTCTATTTATCTACTTTTCTAGTCTTTTATATTTAACAAACAAATTGTGTAGTAGTAAATACTCCTGATTTTTCTCCCTTTTTTCTGCTTGGAAGTCTCTCTTTAGAACTACTTGTTATTGTACACTTATCTAAGTCAGTGTGAAGAGGTTAGTTTCAAAATGAATACTTTTTAAGATGCTATTAAATGGCATAGCTTTCATTTGTTTTATTTGCTTTGACTGGATGTGGTATATCAGGCGCCATGTTTGGATGCCTCTCTCCAGGCAGTTATCATATACATGGAGCAATGAAGAATTAGTGCTTGCAACTGGCAATGAAGGTGTCACTCATCTGCGGCACAAATTGAAACTTTTCAGTGCTTATGCCGGTATTCCTGTAAGTTTTTTGAAGCTTCTTGTGCTCTCTGGTATAGTTTTTGGTAGCATGATAAATAGCTGGGCCTCAAAGAAGCCAAGATAACTTTCAAAAAAAGAAGCCATGATGGTTTTTTGTTTTGCCGCTTTTTGGGGCAGGGGAGAGGGGTAGGATGTGTTGTATGCTTCAGTTGGCAGCTTCTATGGGAACATGTTTTATAATGTATTATCTCTATATGTAATTGGAAATCGACAGATTGAGAAATATGTTTGTTCTTGTCATTGGTGGCAGTTTTCTTTCTTTCTTTTTTTTTAATGAACTTGGATATGTACATTAGTGTATAGAAATGTTTTTCTTTATGATTCAATTCATAATTTTGAATCCGAACTTTCATATCTGTTCATTTGTCTAATAAATACTGATTATACTTTTTCTAGGGGAGCAGCAGAACAAGAGATAGTCATGGGGAGCCCTTGGCAACTTCATACCACTCTAAGTTTATGGGAACTGTAGATTATATTTGGTATATTGATTGCATTGAAAAATTGAGTATTTGTTCTTGAAACTTTTAGTTTCTGATTGCAGTGTTGATACAGGCATACAGGTGAACTTTTTCCTGTGAGAGTTCTTGAAACATTACCCATTGATACATTGAGAAGAAATGCAAGCCTTCCCAATGAGGTACCTTTGCATCAATTTAGTGAGCTTGATCAAGCATATAATTTTATATTAACATCCCATGTCCAGAATCCAAATTCTTGCAAGTATAATTGCCTAGCATTAAATATTTAGCTTCTAAATAAAATTAATAAATTGGCATCTTCATCACTTAATTATAAGCTAGTCAGGTTCCCTCAAATAAAGTAGCTTCCTGTTTCCATAATCTATAAGTTGATAGACTCAGTATAGTGTGAGCTAGTATTCTCCATTTTATCCTGAATCTTGGAATATTAATCAAGAATTTGTGACTTTGCAGAGATTGGGTAGCGACCATCTTGCTCTTGTATGTGAACTGGCCTTTGCTGATGATCTCAAGGGAGCCTGATTGTTCTGCTCATAGACTCATACTTCTTAAGGTTATGGTTTCTTGGTGATCTGAAACTATGCAGAAACATCCTCTTTGGCATGCATAAGGGCAATAAATTATCAGTTAAGGCTAACGGGATAAACGAGGAAGGCTCCCATTGAGATATTTTGCTGATTTACAAAGAATTATGAAGGTCAGCCTTTGGCAGTCTGAGATGAAGCATCCCCGCACAAGAAAATGGTGTTCATTTACATGTACACAATTATAACAAGAATCCAAAATTTTAATTCTGTTTTCGGATGAAAGAACAATGTCTTCTGATTTTTTTTTTTCATTTCAAAGAAACCTTTAATCCTGATAGAGATAGTCTTTAGAAAACTATGACTTTGTTCATATGAAAGATTTGAGCTGCAGCTCAAGCCACTGACTATGATTTGATTAAACCAACAAATTTGTTGTTTGAATTAGGGCTTTGCCAGTGGATCGAAAGAGAGAAGTCAGACTCTTAAAAATGTTGAAACCCCTTTGTTCATTGATTGAAGCTGCTGATGATTTTGCACCTAACATCTTCAATCAAAACATAATAAAGGGAAAGAGTCTTTGCAGATGTTTGATACCTGAAAAGTTGAAAGGGAAAGCCATGAATCAGACTGCTGCTTTGGTTAAGAAAAATTCTGAAACGAAGTGAAGTCGGTGGAAAGCAAGAAAGAGAAAAAGAGAGTTTCCAAAGTCAAATGAAGGGTCATAGTGGAGAGGAAGGCCCAGTAAATCTGCAAGGCAAAGCAATCTCCTTTCAGCGGCCTACAGCCTGACACCAAGCTATACACCATGTATTGTTTGTTCCCATCTTTTTCTTTATTTAATTCTCTCTTTGCAAATGGATATGTTTTATATTTTAATCAAAACAAAGTGGGGTTCTTGTGATAGGGTTAAGAAGTGTTATAAACAAGTAAAAGAAGTAATAAAGATCATTTATTCGAGTTAGGAATCAGTCGTGTCTGGTTGTTTTCATTATTTTTCGAATTAAAATCAAGTATTTACGATAAGCAATCAAGTTAGTGTAAATTTTTATAATAAAAAAGCTAATTTGACTCGATAACAAGTACATGTATTTTTTTATTCAAAAAGTTAGATTTGAAATTTTTTTTTCAATCATAATCATATTTATGTATTAAAGAGATTTTAATTGTTAATATCACTCGAGATTATTCGTACACGTTTAATATTAAAAAAATAAAAATAAAATGTAACAAAAATGTGAGTCCTCTTTATGAAAAGTATGATGATTTTGGGACAAGAAAAGTACATTTAACAACCACTTACAAAGATTTTTGGAGGTTTGCTTGTAATTCAAGTGAAAGCTAACTTCTCAGGAATAGTCTTCTGCTCTTCCATTTGTATCAGTCCCAGCACCTACAGCCTAAGCTATCCAAGCTTTAACATTTTTGCCATGTCCAATTTTCATTTGTAAATAATATATATATATATATATAACACAAATACTTTTAAACTATATTGTTTGAAACATAAAATAATTAAATTTTTTAATGTTGATAATTTATAAATTATTCTATGCTATTATTTATTTTTTTTAAAATCGATTATGATAAAGTAAAAAATATTAACCAATTGGAGGTTTACTTTAATTTATTAAGTGCACAACTAATGTGTTCTAATGGGATGGTTATTCATTGAATTTGTATGAGAAGAAGAATAGTTTCTGAATGTAGCTTTAAAGTAAATGAACAAAAAAATTGTACCAATATTGTCTATTTTAAAATTGGGAGAAAAAAAAAAGTTTCAGTAATAGCTCCTTCAATGAATCATTTTGTGTTAGATGATATATTGGAGGAAATTAAAATTAAAGGTGATGTTATTAATATCATAACGTTCATTTTTAATTGTTAATAGATTTATATTTAATCCACTGTGATTATTAATTTACCTCATTAATTATCACTATGCATTTGAATATTTATTTTTTTTATTTTTATATAATAATTGTATATAAATATAAATATTTCTAAGATATAAAATTTTGCAATGTTAATTTATAAATTAATTTAATATTATTAGAATTAAAAGATATATATTTTTAGTGATAGTACAGACTTCTTATTTATCATAACATTTAAAAATATAATAAACAAATAACATTATTTTTAAAAATATAGTAACACTAAGAATTATAATAGGATACTAGTAGGGGTGAGTAATTGGGTAATTGAGATAGTTCGATCCATCATATCTATGAATTAAATAGATCAAACATTTTTAGAAAATCGATCAGAACTGACCAAATATAAAAGAAGACCGAATTGACCAAACATCGAATTAGTTTAATCGGTTGGATATTAGATCAAAAAAATCAAATTTTTATTTTTTCATTTTTTTATAAACTACAATATTAAAATTTATAAACTCCATTTATAATTAAAAAATATGAAATAAAAATTAGTAATAAAAATATATATTTTATATAAATTTAAAAATAATACATAATTTTATATATTAATATCATATATATAATATTAGTTTAGTCCTTTGATTTATTTGGTCCAAAAATTCTAAAATCGAAAATCAATCAAATAAACCAATTGGACTAAACTTTTTAGATCAATAAACTAATTGAGTCAAAACTATTTTATCTGAATTGTATTCGATTCGATTGAATAATTGATCCGGTCTAATTTTGCTCATTCCTAAATACTAAGATTAATGTGGCCTGTTGCTTAGCTTTATTTTCCCTATTTCAACATCTTTGATCATGATATGCTTGGTTGAAGCTTTTGAAACATGGTGTATTAGACCGATTACTGTCTTATCAAACAAGCTCATCTTTGCTTGTTTTCAGCCTAGTTGTTCGTCCAGACTTGTTAGTGATTTGCACTAGGGTTAAGAAGAGTAACAGACTGATCAATGATTTGTGTAGATTTAATGATCAATTGGGTTGATTTGTAATTCAACCTAGTTGTTCTTCCTAACTTAATCAAAAAAATCGTACAAAGAAAATAAAAAATCTAGCTTAATAATGGTAAGCCTTTTTTAACCATTTGTTATGGTTAAAACTCGTAAAACTGTTTCTTTTTGTTCATTAAATTTTGTTTAGAATCTTGAACATGAACAAATTACTGAGTGGTAATTGAGTATCTCAAGTTTTAGTTGAATTTGTAAAGTATAAACTAAAATTAAAATAATCAAAATTAAACTCAATACAAAATTGCACATGTAGAAATTACATATGCAAGAATACAGATACAGCAGCCGCAGCAGGAGAGGAGAGGAACAAAACTTTGGATGTCTCCTGACAACATAGAGGCAAACCAAAACTCTCCCCTGCTTTAAGATAAGTTCAAGCTTGAAGAACAATTTCATCCAGCCAAGCCATAGTTTTATGATCGAATGTAATGTCTGGCAGGTTAATAAACTTATCCTTGGCATTGTCTACCAGGGGTTGCAGATTATTAGCAGCATTATCATTCAACCAAAAGTTCATGCAACGCTCAAGGACAGATGAGCAAAGATTCATATAATTTTCAACAACACACGACTCGAAAAGCTCATTCCATGACTCAGAAGCTGATGGAGGTTCCCACAAATCCTTGACGGAATTCTCATCTTTCCATAAATCTTTCACGGATGCCGGCTCGAATGTCTCCGATGGAGGTTCACACAAGTTCATAACGAAAGCCTCATCTTTCCATAAATCTTTAATCGAGGCCGGCTCGAACGTTTTCTTCCATGAGTCTGATGGAGGTTCCCACAAATTCACAACGGAAGCCTCATCTTTCCATGAATCTTTAGCCGACACCGGCTCGAAGGTCTCCTTCCATGAGTCAGATGGAAGTTCCCACAAATCCATAACAGAAGCCTGATCTTTCCATAAATCGGCATGGACATCTTTAATGGAGGCCGATTGTTTGACAGTTTTGGGTTCTTGAAAAATTTTGTATTCTTTTACCACTTTCTTCACTACGTGTTCTTTCATGACTGGATTGACTGAAACATCATCAAGCACAGAGGAAGGAGATAGTTGCGAGTAATTAGTATCTTCAGATTTAACTGTGAATGAGCTGTTATCCTCCTGTTCACCTGCCATCATAACTTCAAACTCTCGTTTCTTTGTCTGATAAACAGCAGCAGCCTCCTCTTCAGTAGTATAAGTACCAAGCCATAGCCGCTTCTTTCTGAAAGGATCTCTGATTTCTGAAGCAAATTTTCCCCAAGGCCTTCTACGAACACCCTTGGACATAGAAGAAAACTTTCGAACTCTTTTAGATTCAGAAACATCATGTTCTCTTGTAAATTCACGTGGCACAGCTGAATATGAAATCTCCTTGACGACACGCTTAGTACCCAAAATTTTATTCTTCAGTTTAATCTCTTCTTCATCACTCGATGAATCTGTAACATCTGGATCATTATATACAATTCGAAGCTTCTTCGGCAAATTGAAACTTGGGTCCATGTTTTCCTTGTCAGAGTTCATTCGACTCAAATTTCGTGCTTGAAGGCCTAGCATTGTGCTATTTATAGAGAGTTAAATCCTTCTTGAACTAGAAAACTCCCTCGAACATAGTCAATTTAAACAAGGATAGAGAAGGAAAGAAGATATATAACGTATCCTAGTCCTACTTGATCCTGAAGAAACCCAAAAATCCTTAGACCTCATAAACCCCATTAAAACCCCAAATAATAAATACTAAATAATTAAACACAGAAGAAGAAAAACGATGGTATCTTGATGACAAAGCAAGAGAAAAATCAAAGTAACTAGAATTGGCATTACCATTGAAGAGAAAGAGATTGCATGGAAACGGTGCTGCTGAAGAAGCAGAGTTTGATAAACAGAGACTGAAAAAGAGTTGCAGAGCTTCCTTGAAGCACCAATGATCACTTCACCAAATCCTGACGACATATATACTCTGTTTCTTTCTCTCTTGCACCTCCGTTTTTTTCTCTCCAGGAAATCGTCTAGCTCTTCAAAGGGCAAGGAGAAATTGAATCTAATAAAAATCAGCGCACTTCAGAAGATTGTGACGCAAAAAAATAGGAATTCAATTTCCGCGTATTTTGTTTACTTACCAAAGGAAAGAAAATCTAAAACAATCAATGAAACGAAGAAAATAACACCAAATAAACATGGAAAGAAAAGAAAAATTAATGATAATGACCGCGTAAATGATTTTATAGAGTATTCAAACATACGGGATCATTTCTTTTTCTTACTGAAATCGATTAATAAACGCCATTTACTCTGTTTCCTTTCTCTCTGTTTCATCCCCTGTTTCCTAATTCTAGTGTATCTGGCTCTCGCCTTGGATTTTATATGTCCTTCACTCTGTCCAATAAGGTTTCAGCGTGGCCCATTTTAAGCCTACATGCGCCACCTTTCTCACCCAATAGCATCTCGACAACTGTGAATCACTTTCCCGGGCCACATGTGGACCGCCTCAAATCTGCTTTAAATGTAATTTTAGTACACGTGTCAATAACTTGAATTTAACTTGCTTAGTATCAAATAAAGCCGAGTTTAACTTATATTATCACATGGGTGATTTAAGAGCCTAATTGAGTTTAACATTTTTATAATATGAATTTCGTTAACGAGCATCTATACATCTTTTACAAGGTTAATTAAATTATTATTTTGTAATTTTATTTTGAATTTTAAAATTAAATTCGAGATTTGGACTCTCTGAATTTAAATTTAAATTGATTAACTTAAAAGTAGAGTCATTCAAATACTTAGTTTTATCTAAATTTGAGTATGAAGGATAAGCTTCAATGAGCACACATTAAGATAGAGTTTTGAGTTGTGTAATCGAGTCATTTTGATCACTTTTAAATATTGATGAAGCCAAGGTGGGGGTAAGTGGTAACAACGACTACCTTTTCATTTTTAATTTTCTTGACTATATGTATAAAGTTTTATATATATTATAATTACTCTTATAATTATTCTTTAATCACTTTTCATAAAAAATTTTGAATTCACCACTACTTCTAAAGATGAATGAAAATTTGAATTGAATGATGTGTTTGTTGAAAATAGGTGTCTTTGGAACATATAATTAAATGAGGTACTAATTATTCCTATCATTTATAGTGTCACCCTATGATATGAACTCGCATATTTGATTCTTGGCTTAAAAAAGGATGGTAATTGTAATTAAAAAATGTAAAAAAAGAGAATTATTAAATTGAATTTGGTATTACATCATTTTAGATGTTTGATTCTGACTAATAACACATTACCGATAAACTATCTTACAAGAAATTATATCACTCCATACAATGATAAAGGTAATGTAGAAACAAGTAATAAGTTACGTTGAAAATAATAAGGAAGGAGTGGCAAGATTACATCATCATAAAGAAAATAGTGAAAGTAATTTTGAAAATACTCTTAGGATATTTTGAATAACCCGACTTTGATTTAATACAAAAATAATTAAATTGTTGGTGCACATAGAGTTTAGATGGAATTCAAAGAATTGGCAAAATTGGTTTCAAAGCGAGCTTTTTAATATATGCTATCTTTAAGATTTATTTCTCTCTCACCACTCAATATGCAAAAAGAAATAATGTGAATAGCCTTAGAGATATAATGAAGCCAACGTTTACCTTCGTCTTGCACTTTACGAGAGTAGACTGTTAGATGCACTTAAGAGTTCGTAAAGTTGTTTGGCCTTAGAGTCTACTTTCTGTAGCAAGTAGAATATAAGAAATCTAGATTCCTTTGATAATGTTGGGAACTCAAGTGTTTATGTTTATTTTCAAAAAATAACACTTTTATCTCTCTTGATTTTTCTACACTTGTCTTATTTGTTTTGGTGTATCAAAATGATTGACAACAAATCCTTTATGTAGGCTTGCAACTGTCTCTTTTTTAAAAACACAATTCTTTCATCAAGGCACCTTTTTGTCTTAACTATGCCTTTGCATTTTACAAACCACAATCATTGGATAAAGGTACTGTTTCAATAATCATCTTATTGAAAAACAACCATTCATTTCATAAAACATAAATTTTGACCTATAATATGAAAAGATAACTTTTCATAGCTAAACTTTTAAGTTCTGGTGTTTTTCAATTGTCTCATAACCTTTGGACTTATAGGTAGTTTTTCAAAATATCACTTTACCAATAGACATAACTATTCACATGAAAAGCCCCACCTATAATCCAATAGTCATACTATGTCACTTTATGTGACATAATTTTTGAGTTAAAATAGCTTTTCATATAAAGACACAATCATTTATTTTGAAAATATCTATAACATACTTAAAATAAAGCCCTAAAGGTGCTTCCAAGTATGGCCACGTTGTGGCTTTCTTTGGATTATACATGTTCGAGATATGTTTGGTATTATTTGATTTGTTGAGGATGCATGTGTGGTATTTTCTTTTTATGCCACCTAAAACCAACGTGTGCTCCGACTTTGATTCAATTGAGCCTTACTCTAAAAAACATCAACAGGGAAAGAAGCAAAGTAAAAACCACTAAAAAAATAAACAATAAAGTCTTCAGCTCTCGATAATGTGAAGCTAGAATCTATCTAATCCCTTCAAAATCACCACCCATTAAAACTTAATCTAACCCTTTTTGAAAGAATAAAAAGACCTAGATCAAAAATAGCACGTTAGATACAAAATAAATCAATTCCAGATTCAATTTAGCAAAGATTATTTATTTTTCAAATCACTTATTGCAAAAGAATGAAACATGAATGCATAAAGAATACAAAAAAAAAAACCTAAAATTAAATGAGAATTATTGAATTAAAATTATCATATAATTAAAGAGAGAAAGAAAGAAAAATATGGTATTTTTAGGGAAAGACGAATGATACTAATAACATAAATTTTGAGTTACTTATGTAGTTTTTAGAGTGAATAAGACCTTGCACTTTGAGAAGAACGATAGCTAGGGTTTTTTAGAAGGAAAAGAAATTGGTGGCAAAGGGAAAAGGGAGAGAAGAAAAAAAGAAAGGGAAAGAAAGAGAAAGTCATTACCTGAAATGCCTAGGCTGGCGAAGGCAATGGCTCCAGGGGCCAACTAAAGGAGAAAAGGTTTAGAGAATCAAGTTGGTTGCTAGGGTCAATTGGAATAATAGGTGTTCAAACAAGCAGTGGTTTGAAACTATTTCAAATGTGCTTTATGCTCCAAAGGTTAGCCAAAATCCTCTTAGTGTTGGTCAACCTGTGAATGATGGCTATGAGTTAACCTTCAAGGACAAAGCTTGCACTGTGAAAGATTTTGTTGGAATTGAATTGTAAACTGTTGGCATGAGGAACAAGTGTTTTCCCCTAGATTGGATGACAGTGAATCATGCAGCTTATAAATGCACCTTGTTTAGTGCAGCACTATGGCACAAAGGTTTGGCCATGTGAACTATGGTTCACTTATGCAAATGGCTTCAAATGACATGGTTGTTGACTTACCAAGGATCACCAAGTCAGATAAGGTCTATGATATCTATCAGTTGGTAAACAAAAACATGTGTCATTTCCCAAAACTAGAAGTTGGTATGTAACACAAAAGCTACGACTACTTCACACTAATCTTGGAAGACCAATGAAGACTACATCTCCCAATGGTAGCAAGTATTATATTCTCTTTATTAATGACTTTACTAGATTTAGTTGGACATAGTTTATCAAGCAAAAATCTGATGCACTAGGGGAAACATAAAGTTTAAAACATTGGTAGAAAATCAGATGAGCTTGAGCATAACAATTTTGTAGAGTGATAATGGGACTAGGTATACAGTAAAAGAGTTTAAAAAGTATTTGAGTAAATTTGGGATTGTGCATCAATTAACAATCAAATATAGTTCTCGGTAGAATGGGCTATTAAAAAGGAAAAATAAGACTCTAATGGCAATGGCAAGGTGTCTACTATATGAGAAGGGCTTACCAAAGACTCTATGGGCAAAAGCAATTAACACTACCAATTATTTACTTAACTTAGCACCAATCAAAGCTTTGTTAAGTAAAACTCTTTATGAAGCCTTACTTAATGTTAAACCAACTATGGATCATTTGAAGGTGTTTGGGTGTATTTGCTATGCAAAGGTAGCAGATGCAAGGAAAACAAAGCTAGATGAAAATCAGTCACTATAATACATGTAGGGTACAGTGAAACTTCATAGGGTATAGGCTACTTAATGTTAAAACTTTGAAGCTATTTATTTATAGGGATGTTGTGCTTGATGAACATATAAAGTGGAACTGGGATTCTAACACTGTTGAAAGCTCAAAAAATCTAGAATTTGTTGCTGATAATCTTTTTAAGCCTGAAGTGATTATAGAGTGGGATGATAATATTGATCAACCTCATGTAAAAGGAACTACGTCCCTATTGGACATCTATTCCAAATGTTATGTTACAATTACAAAACGTGGATCTTATGCTGAAGCTACTGCAGATGACAAGTGGAGATAAGCTATGAAGGTTAAAATCTCAATGATAAAGACAAATCAAACTTGGATCCTTGTTGACAGACCACCAGAGCATAAAGTTATTAGTGTCAAATGGTTGTTCAAAACCAAACATAATTCTGATGGAACAACAAGCAAGCTCAAAGCCAAGTTAATAGTGAAAGGTTTCTCTCAAACTTATGGTGTAGATTACTTTGAGACATTTGCACCAGTTGCTAGACATGACACTATAAGATTGCTTATAGCTATTGCTGCAAAAAAAAAAACTAAGGTATTTGGCATCTAGGTATAAAATCTATTTTTTAAAATGGACTTATCTCAGAAGACATATTCATAAAACAACCAGAAAGTTTTGTGGAAC